AATACTCATGTCTTAACTTTGACCGCGCGACCACTGCAGTGCATGCTGGTGTCGGCTGGAGTGAGCCCTTTCAGTTCAGCAGCAGAGCTCGCAAAAGACGTCCTGCACAATCCCTGGGTCTAACAACTAAAAGGTTCTATCAGAAGATCCAACACTGAGGAACTCTTGCTACTGCTGCTGCAGCTGGTGTTGCTGGTGCTGTTCCTGGTGCTATTGATGTTGCCTTTGCTGCAGCTGTTGCTGCTGCTGCGGCGGCGGCAGCGGTGGTGGTACTTGCTGTTGTTGCTGTGGTTACGATGTTGTTTTGGCTTTGGTTGTTGTTGCTGGTGCTGGTGCTGGTGCTGCGGCTGTGGCTGTTGCTGTTGCTGTTGCGGCGACGGCAGCGGGGGTGTTGGATCAGTGTTGCTGTTGTTGTTGTTGTTGGTGGTGGTGGTGGTGGTGGTGGTGGTGTTCTTGTTGTTCTTGTTGTTGGTGGTGGTGGTGGCGGTGTTGGTGTTGGTGTTGGTGTTGGTGTTGGTGGTGGTGGTGGTGTTGGTGGTGTTGGTGGTGTTGGTGTTGTTGGTTGGTTGTTCACTAAGGGTCCCTAGTATAGGGGCCTAAATAATTACCAATATTACTGTGGGGGTTCCTTCTTGTAATTATAGTATAATCTACCCCCCAAAACCCTATTCTAATTATTAAGGCCCCTACATTAGCCCTACATCCTGAGCCCAAAACCCTAAAAACCCACCTACACCCGAAACCCTAAACCCGAAACCTTAAATCCTTAAAACCCAAACCCATTATGACTTGAGGGCTTAGGATTTTGAGCTAGCTTCGTTCCACGGCTACGGTGGAGTTTTCAGGGCTGCCGGTTGAAGGACCCCAGACTCCAAACCCACGCATAGAAAAACCTTAAACCCGGGCCTAAAACTCTAAGCTCTAAGCCCTCAACCCTAAACCCTAAACCTGGGTTTAGGGTTTAGGGTCCACTTTAAAAAAAGAGCCTAAAGTGTCGAAGTACAAGAAGGAAGCAGGGTTTGTTTGCCGGATCCGACTGGCTTGCCCCTCGCGAAGTAGGCTCCGGGATCTCCATGCGAGGACAAAAGTAAAAGGAGTTCAACTAACAACTATACCCCTAAACCCTAAACCCTGAGCCCTAAACCCTGAGCCCTAAACCCTAAACCCGAAGCCCTAAACCCGAAGCCCTAAACCCTAAACCCAAAAAGACAACCCTAAAGCCACCTAAACCCGAATACTGAACCCCTAAATCCTCAACCCTAAGCCCGAGGCTTGGGGGCATTGGGTTTTGGACTGTCCTGACACAGTTTAGGGGTTTAGGGTTTAGGGTTTAATAATTACCTATATTATCTTGGGGACTCCTTATTATACTTATAGGTTAATGTACCCCAAAACAGTAATATAGGGGTCTCAATAATTACCCACATTATCTTGGGGGCTCCTTGTTACACTTATAGGTTAATGTACCCCAAAACAGTAATATAGGGGCCTCAATAATTACCTATATTATTTTGGGGACTCCTTACTATAATTATAAGGTTAATACACCCCAAAACAGTAATATAGGGGCCTCAATAATTACCCGCATTATGTTGGGGGCTCCTTGTTAAAATGATAGTATGACATACCCCGAAACAGTAATATGGGGCCTCAATAATTACCTATATGATCCTGGGGACTCCTTATTATATATACTTATAGGTTAATATACCCCAAAACAGTAATACAGGGGCCTTACTAATTACCTATATTATCTTGGGGACTCCTTGTTATAATTGTAGGTTAATACACCCCAAAACAGTGATATAGGGGTCTCAATAATTACCTATATTATTTCGGGGCTTCTGATAATAATCATAGTATAATATACCCCAAAACCATATTCTAATTGTTAAGGCCCCTGCAGTGTGCACTCATGAACGACCTTAATGAGGTTTATTGGTAGGACTTGCTAAGGGCTTCGAAGAGGAGGCTTGGGAACCCTAAACCCTACTTGAAGGCCCTTTTGACTTAGTAAGTAGGGTTAGTAAGGTGGGTTATGGGGATTATAATAGGGCTCCTGGGGGATANNCTAAGTCAAAAGGGCCTCCAAGTGGGTGCCCATGGCAATGGATCAAGGTGGCAGATGGCGGTCACAGGTATCACGCTGTTGCGAGACGTATCTGGACCTAAACCCTCATCCCTAAACCCTAAACCCTAAACCCTAAACCCTAAACCCTAAACCCTAAACCCTAAACCCTAAACCCTAAACCCTAAACCCTAAACCCTAAACCCTAAGCCTTAAGAATCCCCTGAAGAGATAAAGGGCCCATGCCATGCGAGGCGGGGAGGATGGGAGGAGCTTTAGGGTTTGGGGTCTTCAGGGCTTAGGGGGGCTTTGGGTTTCGGGCTTAGGGTTTAGGGTTTAGGGTTTAGGGTTTAGTTTAGGGTTTAGGGTTTAGGGTTTAGGGTTTAGGGTTTAGGGCTTCGGGTTTAGGGTTTACGCTCTACGACTTTGGCTTTAGGGTGTAGGCTTTAGGACTTTGGCTTTAGGGTTTAGGCTTTAGGACTTTGGCTTTGGAGGTTAGGACTTCGGGTTTAGGCTTTAAGGTTTAGGGTTTAAGACTTTGGGTTTAGGGTTTAAGATTGTGGGTTTGGGGTTTAAGGTTTAGGACTTAAGGTGTAAGGTTTAGGGTTTAAGACTTCGGGTTTAGGGAATAAGACTTCGGGTTTGGGGTTAAAGGTGTAGGGCTTAGGGTTTAGGACTTTGGGTTCAGGGCTTCGGGTCTAGGGCTTTTCGGGGAGGACAGTCGAGGGATGAACCGTTCTGTCGGGGTTTGTGGGGTTTGTCAGGGGCTGCTGGGTTTCATTCGTGTATGCCGGTTCTAACTCAAAGGGTTGTTGTTTTCTTCCTAATGGGTCTTCTAGGGTTTCAAGAGAGTTGCTTAAGGGTTGTGCCAGAGGTCTTCTGAAACAAGGGAACGCTGGCAAAACACTTCTCAAAAGGAGATCCTGCATGAGACCACCTTTAGTGGCTACTTCTGGGACCGGAATTTGGACCTACGGGCGTCTGGGCATTGGGGCATTGGGATTGCCCAGAGAACCCAATACCCCTTAATTAAGGAATATACCTTAAACCATAATTATAAGGCCCCTATAACTCAAGGTATATTCCTTCATTAAGGGGTATGGGGTTCTCTGGGTGATTGGGGCTTTATAGGCATTCAGTGTCGGGCTGGCGTGTGGTGTGTTAGTTTCGGTCTTAGGGTCCAAAAACGCAGCTTGGCTTCCAGGATCCCGGAAACACTTCCATCGGGGTGGACCCTTACCTGCCAAGCCCTAAACCCTAAACCCTAAACCCCAAACCCCTAAACCCTAAACCCTAAAACCCTAAACCCTCAACCCTAAACCCCAAACCCCAAAGCGCTAAGCCCTAAACCCCAAAGCCCTAAGCCCTAAGCCCTAAACCCCAAAGCCCTAAACCCTAAACCCTAAACCCCTAACCCCTAAACCCTAAACCCCAAAGCCCAAACCCCAAAGCCCTAAACCCTAAACCCCAAAGCCCTAAAGCCCAAACCCCAAACCCCAAACCCCTAAACCCTAAACCCCAAAGCCCTAAACCCTAAACCCTAAAGCCAAAGTCGT